ATTAAATATGGTGTTAGCTATAGGGTTTTTGTAGATGTCCTTTATCAAGTTGGGAAAGTTCCCATCTATTAAAAGAGAGTTTTTATTATAAATGAGTTTTGGATTTTATCAAAAGCTTTTTTCTGCATCTATGATAAGATCATGTGATTTTTCTATTTTAACATATTGATGTGATGAATTATATTAATTGATTTTTAAATGTTAAACCAGCCTTGCATACCTGGGATAAATTGCACTTGGTCAGGGTGTATAATTCTTTTTATACATTGCTGGATTTGATTTGCTGCTATTTTGTTTATGATTTTTACATCTATGTTCATGAGAGGTATAGGTCCATAGTTTTATTTTCTTACAATGTCTTTATCTGGTTTTGGTATTAGGGTAATGCTGACTTTATAGAATGAATTATAAAGTCTTTCCTCTGTTCATATCTTCTGGAACACATTGTAGAGAACTGGTATAATTTCTTCCTAAAATGTTTGGTTGAATTCACCAATGAACCCATCTGGACTTGGTGCTTACTGTTTAGAAGGTAATTAATTCAATTTCTTTAATAGATTCAGGCCTATTCAGATAGTCTATTTCTTCTTGTGTGAGTTTCAGCAAATTGTGTCTCTCAGGGAATTGGCCAACTTCATCCAGGTTATCAAATGTGTGGGCATAAAGTTGTTGATAATATTCCTTTATTATTCTTATAATCTAATAACATCACCTCAAAATATGTAGAGCAAAATTTGATCCGAGCTACAAGGGTAAGTATTCAAATCCACAATAAAAGAAAGAGTTTTTTACACAACTTTCATTAACTTATTAGAATAAGAAGACAAGAATTCAGGAAGGATATAGAAGAATCAAATAATATTATGGCACACCTGACCTTTCCCAATGCACATGGATTATTTACAAAAATTGTCCTCTCACAAAGATAGCTGAGAATAGGAAATTAAATAAAATAATTTAAAATGAAGAAAAGCAGACAGCTGCATGCAAAGCAATAAAGTTAAAGCACACCCTCACACCATACACAAAATTAACTCAAAATGGCTTAAAGACTTAAATATGAGACAGGACAGCATAAAACTCCTAGGAAAGAACATAGACAAAACGTTCTCTGACATAATCATACCAATGTTTTCTTATGTCAGTCTCCCAAGACAATAGAAATAAAAGCAAAAATAAGCAGATGGGACCTAATAAAACTTAAAAGCTTTTGTTTTCACAGCAGAGGAAAACATAAACAAAATGAAAAGACAACCTACAGACTGAGAGAAATATTTGCTGTTTTTTTTTTCGCGGTACGCAGGCCTCACTGCTGTGGCCTCTCCCGTTGCAGAGCACAGGCTCTGGACGCGCAGGCTCAGCGGCCATGGCTCACAGGCCTAGCCGCTCCGCGGCATGTGGGATCTTTCTGGACCGGGGCAGGAACCCGCGTCCCCTGAATCGGCAGGCAGACTCTCAACCACTGCGCCACCAGGGAAGCCCAAGAGAAATATTTGCAAATGATGTGACTGATAAGAGCTTAATCTCTAAAATGTACAAACAACTCTTACAACTCAATAACAACAACAAAAAACCCAATCAAAAAATGGGCAGAAGACCTAAATAGACATTTCTCCAAAGAAGACATACAGATAGTCATTAGGCACATAAAAAGATGCTCATCATCACTAATTATTACAGAAATGCAAATCAAAACTACAATAAGGTACCACCTCACACCAGTCAGAATGGCCATCAGTAAAACATCTACAAATAACAAAAGCTGGAGGGGATGTGGAGAAAAGGAAACCCTCCTACACTTTGATGGGAATAAAAATTGATGCAGCCCCTATGAAAAACAGTATGGAGTTTCCTCAGAAAACTAAAAATAGAAATGCCATATGATCCAGCAATCCCAGTCCTGGGTATGTATCCAAACAAAACTATAATTTGAAAAGATACATGCACCCTATGTTTGTAGCAGCACTATTTACAATAGCCAAGATGTGGAAACAACCCAAGTGTCCATCAATGGATATTATCCAGATGAATGGATAATGAAGATATGGGGTGTGTGTGTGTGTGTGTATGTATTACTCAGCCATAAAAAATAAGGAAATAATGGTATTTACAGAAACAGATGGACCTAGACATTATCATACAAAGTGAAGTAAGTCAGAAAGAGAAAGACAAATACCATATTATATCACTTACACATGGAGTCTAAAATACAACACAAATGAACATATCTACGAAACAGAAACAGACTCACAGATATAGAGAACAGACTTGTGATTGCCAAGGGTGAGGGGGATAGGGAAGGGAAGGATTGGGAATTTGGGATTAGCAGATGCAAACTATTATATACAGAATGGATAAACAACAAGTTCCTATTGTATAGCACAGGGAAATATATTCAGTATCCTGTGATAAACCATAATGAAAAAAAATATGAAAAAGAATATGTATGTGTAACTGAATCACTTTGCTGTACAGCAGAAATTAACACAACATAGTAAATCAACTATACTTCAATAAAACTTTTAAAAATAAATAAAATGAAGGGAATATAAAGGTAAGAACAGGGCTTAAGGACTCTGTCACATATTCTTGTGTGTATGCTTGTTTTGTTTTGTTCTGTTGTTTCATTTTGGTTTTAACAACACTTAAAAGTGTAAAAATTATTCTTAGCTCACTGACCCAAACAAAAACAGGCCATGGGTCAGATTTGGCCAGAGAGTTTTCATTTGCTGACTCCTGCAATAGATCATACAGATATTAAAATGATCATAAAAGGATATTATGAAAAATTTCATGCCAGTAAACTTAAAAATTCAGATGACATGGACAAAAACACAAGTTACCAAACAAACAGAAGAATAGAAAGCCTAAGTTTTTTTACAACTATCAAAGAAACTAGATTGTTAATTTAATTCCTTTCCACAGAGAATAACAACAGGTCCAGATGGCTTTGCTGGTGAATTCTACCAAACACTTAAACAGACTTTTCTAGAGAACAGTAAACGAGGGACTATTTCCCATCATATTTGAGGGAGCTTAATAACCTTGATATCAAAACATGACAAAAACATCCTGAGAAAGAACAATTCCAAGCCAGTGTCACCCAGAACAGATTGAAAAAAATCCAAATAAAATGTTAACAAATAAAATTTAGCAAAATATAAAAATTCGGGTTTATTTCAGGAATACAAAATTGATTGAACAGTTAAAAATCAAGCAATATAATTTATCACATTAATGGAATAAGAGAAAAATCATGAATATCTTAATGGAGAAAATATTGTGATAAAATTCACTATTTATAATAAAGATTCTTAGCAAACTAGGAAGAGAAGGCAATTTCTTTATTTCAAAAACAGTATCAACAAGATATACACAGCAGGCATTAAGCTTAGTGATGAAACAGTGAAAGCTTTCTTACCTGGAACAAGACAAGTATATCTGCTATCACCACTCCCATTTAACAATGAACTGAATGTTCCAGACAGTGCAGAAAGGGGGCACAGCTATTACAGAAAAAAAGAGAGAGAGAGAGAAGGAAAAAGAGAGAAAGAAAATTGGAGAAGGAGGAAGAGATTGGAGAGGAAGAAATAACACTTTCATTATTCACAGATGTTATGTGTGTGTATGTTCATAGAAATTCTGAAGAAGGAATGTAAATGGTACAGCCACTGTGGAAAACAGTATGGAGGTTCCACACACATAAACATACACACACACACACACACACACACACACACACAAATAGAACTACCATATGATCTAGCAAATTCTACTTCTGAGTATATATCTGAAGGAAATTAAATCACTGGCTCAAAGAAATACCTGCAGAGTATTTAGTTCCCTGTGCTATACAGTAGGTTCTTATTAGTTATCTATTTTACCTGAAACTAATATAATATTGTATGTTAATTATAATTCAATTAAATAAATAATGTAAATAATTTTAAAATAAGTAAATAAATAAAGAGATATCTTCACCCCCTATTTCATTAAAGCATTATTTGCAATAGCCAAGAGACATGGAAACAACCTAGGTGCCCATGAAAGGATGAATAAATTTAAAAACGTGAGATATATATATAATTCGGTCATAAAAAAGAAGAAAATCCTGCCACTTGCAACAATATGTATGAACCCTGAAGGCATTATGCTAAGTAAAATAAGTCAGGCAGAGAAAGACAAATACTGTATGATCTCACTTACATATGGAATCTAGAAAAACCAAATTCATAGAAACATAACAGATTGGTGGTTGCCAAGGGGTAGGGTGAGGGATGAATGAAGGTGGTCATTTATAAGATGAATAAATTCTGAGATTATAATCTACATGGCCACTTTAGTTAATAAGATTGTACTGCATATTTGAGAGCAGCTAAGAGAGTCGATCTTAAGAGTTCTCAGCACAACACAAAGATTGTAACTATGTGAGGTAATGGATATGTTAACTAACCTTATTGTGTTAGTCATTTATATATATATTTATATATTATATATATATATATAGAAAATTATCACATTTGTACACCTTAAATTTACACAATGTTATATGTCAATTATATTTCAGTAAAGCTAGTGGGGGGAAGAAAGAAATTCCAAAAGAATTACAGGTATTTAGCATTAACAAGAGAGTTCAACACAGTTGCTATTTTAAATACACAAAAGCATTTCTTTTCCTATCCCAGGTCATGAAGGCATGTCTCCTATTATCTTCTAGAAGCTTCAGATACACACAGACGCATTTTTTATATCAGCAATAAACAGCTAGAAAATAAGATTTTTAAACGATACCATTTATAACAAAACTTAAAACATCCAATTACCAAATATCAAATCTAACACAAGATACACAGGACCAGCAGTGTCATGAAAGGGCAGCAAAGACCCACGAATTGAAGCCTCCGCTGTTTGCGTGCGAGGAGTTTCTTCCCAGAGCAGTTGGGAAGTGAGAGGCGTAAAGAGAAATTTTTAGAAGATAATTCCAGAATACTGTTGACCAGGAGTGTGGGTCACTTCAACTGGAGCAGTAACTGTTGATCAGTCGTCTCCAGGGGACTGTGGGTCTGAAGCAGTGGCAGGAAAAATCTGGCCCTTGGACCTGGACGAGGTGGAAGCTCTGGAGGAGGTGGACACACTGGAGCCGGAGGTGGATTTGGAGCAGTTCCTGCTCCCGGCTATCAACCAGATGCTGGAGGACATCACGGAGCTCACCCAAAAAGCTGGGAGCATGTGTCTGAGGACCAGGGGCAAGCTGTGGGAGATGGACCTTCTGCTCATCCGGATAAAAACACAGGTGGAGGCCTCGGAGGACGGCGCCTTGAATGGGCGTCCCGGTGGGGAGGCTGATGACAGAGTATTGGAGTTGTGCGAGAAGGCCAAGAAGATTGAAAAGGTGGCAGAGATGTTGGTCGAGCTGGTCTGGCAGATGGAGAAAAGTGAAGTGTCCTGAAGGAGGGTCTCCTGTTCACTGCTAATGGACTGATAAGAATGGGCCGACATCTCGGGGAAACTAAACAGCTTGTCATTTTCTCTGTTTTGTTTTGTTTTGTATGTTTTTTACCCCCATGTAACAATCTCCCTTAGGGTAAGTGGTTGGTGACCTCCATAGAGGTTTAGATTGTCAGATCTATTTGGTTCTTGAAAAACAACTTTTGTTTGAGAAATACTCAAATAAGGGATATGGGGCTAAATCAAAAGTTGTTTTAGTGGTCAGATTTATTTTGTTCCTTTGCTGTGTTTTTTAAATGTTGGGCAAGGCCCAACATTTGTTGTTACCCATGTGACAGCATTGTTTTCTGGAACCTTGGAACATTTGAAGACTTGGGGTCAGAATCTCCCCACTTTAGAGGTGCAGTAGAAGGCACCACTTGGATGTAGCTGATCAAGAATGTAGGGATGAGGGACTTCCCTGGTGGTCCAGTGGTTAAGAATCCCCCTTCCAATGCATGGGACATGGGTGTGATCCCTGGGTGGGGAACTAAGATCCCACATGCCTCGGGGCAGCTAAGCCTGCATGCTCTAGAGCCCACAGGCCACAACTAGAGAGCCCATGTGCCACAACTACTGGACCTGAGAGCTCTGGAGCCAGTGTGCCACAACTAAAGAGAAGCCCGTGCGCTGCAATGAAGAGCCTGCATGCTGTGACTAAGACCGAGTGCAGCCAAATAAGTAAATAAATATTTTTTTAAAAAGAGAATGTAAGGGTGAGACTGCTTTGGAAAGACTGGGCAGAACTAGAGGACAGTTGGAGATGGAAGATGGGTCTGCCTATAGTTTGGAACTTTAATTCTTCTGTGAGGCAAAAGAGGAGAGCTGTGTTTTGTGGCAGATTGTCTTGTGTATATTGTGTAACCTGACAGATGACCCTGAATGATAAGGAAGCTGGAATAGGGAATGATGGGAGTACACTTGACCAACTAATACCCCCCCAGATTACAGGGGTTTCAGAGTATCGCATCAAAGAGACGATCTACAAAGAGCCTTGAGAGGCTGGAGAACAGAAAAGGCATCATGAGGGCCCACAAAGTCCTTTCTAGTTCATCAGGGTAGTAGACCTGACTGGGATTTGAGGACAAAATCAAACATCTAATAAGTGGTCATTTGCCTTGAAAAACAAAGACCTAAAAATCCTTTTTTAAAAAATATTTTTTTGGTCCAGATGACCAAAACCTCTATGTGTAATAAAAAAAATCATAAATAGATTTCTTTTGAAATGGGAAAAAAATTTTTTAAATAAAAAAGACCAGCACCTGGGGCAGGAAGAGCTGCAAGCGCAGTGCATGGGGGTTGAGGCAGGGGGGAGGGGAGCTGGGGCCCCTGGGGCCACAGTGGCAGCAGTTGGGGACCACCCCCCAGCTCAGGCAGGGGGCCAGGAGACCCTTCCCTTGCCAGTGGCAGTCATGAACTCCAAGGTGGGGAACCTGCCCCCGTCCTCCATCATCCACTTGGTGTACAGGAGGTGATGACACTGACAGCTGACCCACCTGACGGCATCAAGGTCTTTTCCAATGAGGAGGACCTCACAGACCTGCAAGTCACCATCAAAAACCCCGAGGGGACCCCGGCGCTGGAGGCCTATTCCGTATGAAACTTCTGTTGGGGAAGGACCGTCCTGCCTCCCCACCCAAGGATACTCGTTGACCAAGATCTTCCATCCAAAGGTGGACGCCAACGGTGAGACCTGCGTCAACATGCTCAAGAGGGACTGGACACCAGCTGGGCATCCGGCATGTGCTGCTGACCATCGAGGGCCTGCTGATCCACCCTGACCCGGACTCCACCCTCGGCGAGGAGGCTGGCCCCCCGCTCTTGGAGAATCAGAAGTAGTAGAGCTCACAGAGATCCCTCAGGGCGCGGGCTGGCTGAGGCCTCCACTGCCGACCCCATGGGCCCTGGGGGCTGCGAGCGGGCAAGGGTCCCATAACCAAGAAGCACACGCCTCCCCCCTCTCTGTCCCATCTGCCCCCACCACCCACCACCCCCACCCTCCCACCCCGGCCCCAACTCTGTCTCTAAGTTATTTAAATTATGGCTGGGGTGAGGGAGGGCATGGGGGCACTGGGACCTGGATTTGTTTTTCTAAATACAGTTGGAAAAGCAAAAACAAGTAAACAAACAAGAAAAAAAACTGCAGAAATCTGTAAAACATTACCGTGAGACATTAAAGAAGACCATATTAAATGGAGAGACATACCATGTCAATGAGTATAAAGATTTGCTAATATAACGATGTCAATTTTCTTCAAACTATTCTATAGATTCAGGGCTATCGGAGTAAAACCCCAATCAGTTTTTAAACTTGGTTTATGTATGTATTTATCATATTAAGTGTATGTTGATGTTTATGTGTGTGTATTTGTTTTGTTGTTGTTGTTATGGAATTTGCAAGCTGATTCTAGAAACTATATTAAAATGCAGTGGACTAGCCTGATTCCAAAATGGAAATCAATGGAAAGGCAATGGACTAAGAATAGTGAGGGTAGGCTTGAAGAAGTTCGCAGTGCGAGAACTTTTACTCTACAAGACGTTGATAATTTCCCTGATGTGACAGTAATTGAGACAATATCATATTAATGAAAGGATAGACAAATAAAATAATGGGATAAAATCAAGACTGTGCACATATAGATTCCTGAATGACTAAGAGGACACTTCCGAACCTTAGGCAAAACATAACTTTACAATAAATGTTGTTGAGAATATTGGCTATCCCAATAGGGGGTTGCTGGGTGTGGGGGCAGGTGAAAATGGACCTTGAACTCAATTACATACGATTCAGAAAAAACAGCTCCAGATGGATTGCAAGGCTGAATGTGAAATACAGAACCCTGAAGCTTCTAGAAGATAAGATAGGAGAATATTTTCATGACCTACAGTAGGAAAAGACTTTATAAACAAGACACCAAAAGCGTAAAGGAAAGATTTATAAATTTTACTGTATTAAGTTCATCAAGACAGCAGTAAGAAAGTACAAAGTAAGCCACAGAGTGAGGGACAGTATTTTGAATCACCTAAACAATCCTGCAATCAACAACAACAGTAATAAAGTCTGGCAACCAAAAAGGAAAATGGGCAAGAGATTTGAACAGCAACCTCACAGAATATGAGAGCCAATAGCCAATGAATATATGAACATGTGAAAGGAACTCAACTCAGGGGAAACGTAAACTAACACTAAGTGAGATAACACTGCTGTGATAAGAAATATATATTTGGTCTCTGCCCTCAGTTCCTGACACAGAGTTCCTAAAACCCTTGTAATTTTCTGAATAATAGGAATAACAGGAGCATTTTTTGTTATAATATTTGGACTAAGTCCCTGCTTCCTCACACAAGAGTTTCTTTTTTTTTTTTTTTTTTTTCCGTACGCGGGCCTCTCACTGCTGCGGCCTCTCCGGCTGCGGAGCACAGGCTCCGGACGCACAGGCCCAGCGGCCACGGCTCACGGGCCCAGCCGCTCCACGGCATGTGGGATCCTCCCGGACCGGGGCACGAACCCGCGTCCCCTGCATCGGCAGGCAGACTCCCAACCACTGCGCCACCAGGGAAGCCCAGCCCCTCACACAAGAGTTTCTAAGACCCTTGGAATCTCCAGAGTGATAGGAGCATTTTATCACATGCTAATGAGAAGACTGTCACTGGGGTCCCTGGATAGCTTCATGATGGGAGCTAGTCCCCAGAAAGACCAAGGCATGATTAGAAACTTAGAAATTTCAGTCCCACCTCCGCCGACCTCCAGGGAGGGGAGAGAGACTGGAGTTTGAATTAATAACCAATGGCCAGTAATTTAATCAGTGATGCCTATGTAATAAACTTCCATTAAAAACCCTAAACAGAACGGTTCAGAGAGCTCCCAGGTTGGTGAACAAATGATGGTGCTGGGAAGGTGGCACACCCAGAGAGGACATGGAAGGTCCACACCCCTTTCCCACACCTTGCCCTACGTACCTCTTCATCTGGCTCTTCATTGTACCTTTATAACACCCTTTATAATGAACTGGTAATAGTAAATAAAGTGTTTGCCTAGGTTCTGTGAGCCACTATAGCAAATTACCAAACCTGATCAGGGGGGTTGTTGGAACCCCCAATTTTTAGCCAAGTAAGACAGAATTATGGATAACCTAGGACCTTCTACTTGCTATTAGCATCCGAAGTGGGGGCAGTGTTGTGGGACTGAGCCCTTAAGCTGTAGGGTCTGTACTAAATCCAGGTAGTAGTGTCAGAATTGAATTAAATTGTGTAACATCCAGTGTGTATCCACAGAGAATTAGAGAATTTCTTGGTTTGAAAAAGCCACACATTTGGTGTCAGAGGAATTGTGAGTAGAGAAAATTTTCCTTTAACTACAAAACCTATCAAAACAACCAAAATTCAAAAGACTGATGATACTAATCATTGAGGCAAGTAGAGAGCAGCAGGAACCCTCATTCACTGCTGCTTGACAAGTGTATTAGTACAGCCCCCTTAGAAAAGGGATTGGCAGTAGCAGCAGAGCTGACTACAAGCACACCCTAGGACCCAGCATTTCCACTCCTAGGAAGAGAGAAAAGAGAAATGTGTGTACATGTGCACCAATAGACAGTAAAATAGTGTTCTTAACAGTACTATTTTGGGGGGGTTCAAACTGGAAATACCCAAATGCACACTAAGAGTAAAATATATAAATAAATTTTAGATATATACAATCGAAGACTATAAAAGAGTGGAAATGAACCAACTACAGCTACAATCAGATCCTGGGTAAATTTCACAAATATCTTGAGCAGAAAAAAAGCGGTCATGAAAGCAGTTATACTGTAGGATTCCATTTACTATAAAATTCAAAACAGAGCTACAGAGTTTGGGGATACACTGGAACTGTAAAGCAAGCGAGGAAGTGATTACCATAATTGTCAGGAGGAGATGAAGGGGACACGAGAGAGGCTTTGGAAGTGTTTTTTGGAAGAGACT